AGCTATTGGCACAATATATTATTGTATTTATTTCAAATCCTAAAATGTGACCTGACCCGTATATGTCCCCAAATGTTGTAATCGGCCAGTGCATATGCTGACCAGAGAGACAAGCGGATGTATAACCTCATCAGTTTGCTTCTGCTCCTTCATTGTCCAATCACAGGCTAGGTAGGTCTGTTATCTTACTGCGGTGTAGTCTGCATGGAGGTCCGGGACCTCGCTGTGCTTTCCTGGCAGGGTCGCTGGCGGCCTGTTGTGTCGTTAGTGCACGGCGGCGGCCTGTTGTGTCGTTAGTGCACGGCGGCGGCCTGTTGTGTCGTTAGTGCACGGCGGCGGCCTGTTGTGTCGTTAGTTTGATCAGGGTTGCTGGTGTGTGTGTGTGTGTGTGTGTTCTTTAAGCAATGGTTATGTGTAGTATCGGGGCGGTGTATACCTTCAGCGCTGTGTAATGATCTGTAATAGTTTCCTTGTGGCTCTTCGCTCCTCCCGGCATCACTGACTGATCCTATAAGCCAGCGGTAGTCAAACACTGGTCCTCCAGTTGTGGTGGAACAACCAATCCCACAATGCATTGCAACATTCTCACAGACATGACTCCCGGAGAGAGATGCATCATGGGATTTGTAGTTTCACCACAGCTGGAGGACCAGTGGTTGGCTACCCCAAAGTAGTGCAGTATAGTGGTGTTACTGGAAAGAGATGGCCGTCTCCTCCATTCTCTGTCCCCGTCTCCTCCATTCTCTGTCCCCGTCTCCTCCATTCTCTGTCCCCGTCTCTTCATTCTCTGTCCCCGTCTCTTCATTCTCTGTCCCCGTCTCCTCCTCAGGTATATCGGAAAGTCGGACTCCATCACCATCAGCGTGTGGAACCATAAAAAGATCCACAAGAAGCAGGGCGCCGGGTTCCTGGGCTGCGTGCGGCTCCTCTCCAACGCCATCAACCGCCTCAAAGACACCGGCTGTGAGTAGACTTGGAGTGCTGCGATCATGTGACCCTGCTGTGCGCGGCGATCACGTGACTTCGCTCTGCAGTGATCATGTGACTTCAGCTGTGCAGTGATTTTTTTATGTGATGTCGGCTGTTCAGACTTGCTTGCACTTGGAGTCCTTCGGGGGCTGAAGTCCGTCTTCACTCAGTTATAAATTCATGGTGATTGGTTCCTGATCAGACCTGACTGACTCTCGCCTCCCCTACAGATCAACGGCTGGATTTATGCAAGCTCGGCCCTAATGACAATGACACCGTTCGGGGGCAGATAGTAGGTAAGTGCTCACAAGCCACGGCCATACATGCAGGCAGTCGTCGCCCATACTGGGACGTGTAGTGAAGAGCGGTTGCTGTAGGTGTTGTCCCCTCTGATGTCGGTAGTCTCGGCCCCAGAAGAAGGAAGCCCATACGGCTTTATACTCTGCAGCAGGTTATAGATCGCAGTCTGTGGGCAGGCCGGCTGTGCCGTGTGTGTGCCATTCATCTGTTGCCTGTACGTGTCCTATAATGGGCATTGTGGAGACTCTGGGTAATGGTCGCTGTGTATTGTGTTCTCTCTTGCAGTCAGCCTCCAGTCCCGGGACCGCATCGGCACTGGCGGCCAGGTGGTGGACTGCAGCCGCCTCTTCGACAATGATTTGCCTGATGGGTGAGAGAAGTGCGCTTTTGTTTTCCTTCTATGTGTTCTAACCCGTAACATGGGGCAGGAAGGTCACTGGTCACAGGCAGCTATGGAACAACTCTGGCCCCCCTATACACCAATCCACAATGCACCCCAATTCCTGACGCACTCTGTGCTCGGTGTGCAATATGTGGAACTGCCTGTGCCCGGGGTGACCTGTCTTGTTCCTCAATGACTTATCTCTGTGCGCTGATTATAGGGAATCGCCTGTTAGTTTGGTTTAGTCTGTCAGGTTTTTATTGTCTCCTCCCCTCCTGTCAATGGAACTCCCAATATTACACTAAAATAGCAGTAAAAACCTGGCTGGGGTTCCCCCACTCCACACAAACAGAGGATATTTAGGTGGACTTCCATTCTATAGGATTTAGCGGCCTGGTGTACGTTGGGTGAAGTGACTTCTCATTTTCCTATCAGATCTATTCACCCCCCAGAAAGGTGTGGGAGGAGGGGGGGGTGCATGATGAATTCACATACAGAGGATTCTCCTGGTTCAGGTCTGACTCCGCTGATGAATTTCTGCACACAATCGGTATTACATATATGACCAATCATCTGTACCTGAACATACAGGGGTACATAGGCAGCTGGTGAGTGTGGCACCCCATTAATGTCCATTTAAATAGTACAAAGGGGGTCCCCGGCACACTTTCATGCCAGCCGAAAAACCCCCAATCTGTTTTACTGCTCAGGAATAAAAAACACAGATTATAGTTCTAATATCTGCAGATAAATGAAGTCACACTGTCGCCTCAAGGCACCTCTGAGGATTGGGGCCCCTAAATCTACACCGAACCCCCAACTATGGGACATGCATAGTACGGCAGCAACCAACTAATCGATAACGAGAATAGTTGTCAACTATTGTCATTATGGATTAGTTGGTTGAATCCCTTCGCTATCTCCTCCTCCTACGCTGGGAGGAGGGCACAGCAAGCAGTGGGCGGGTCTAGTAGCCAGTTTGCTATTGCAATTTAAAATGGCCAATAGCAGGCTGACTATTGCACCCGCCCTCTACCTGCTGTATTTACATTCAGCTGCCGCCTGCAGAATCCTGCCACTGGCAGTACTCTCAGTATATTCCGGGCGATAGCTTGCAATATACTGAGCTTTGGGTGACGGGAGGTGGTTAGTATATGTCCTCCCATGACGCTAAAGAGACCTATGGGGGAAAGCACCAACCTCATGGTTCTCTTTTAAAGGTGAAGTCTAATACCAAATTCACCAACACCGAGGTGACAATGTCCTCCTCTCACTCCCGGCACAGACACCGATCAGCATCTCATGTTCTGTGTTGCCTTCCCACACCTACAAATTGGCCCTTTTAGTGGCGACGGGGGTTGGCGATCACCTGTCCTGCCGTCCAATCATATTCTCTGTATCGGGATGTCGCTGATTCTTCTCAGCCGGTGACGTGAAATTAGAACGGAATGTTTAACGGAAGAATTTCTCCTTTTCTTGCTGTATTAACCTGACTATTAGATGTGACCCGGGGTGGTGTGTGACTCGCCGTGTGTCCGTCCTGTGTATTGTCTCTTTAATCTGTCACATGACTTGTGTGCTGTTCTGAGCTTAGTCTTGCTGAAAGGCGGAGTCAGAGTGTGTTAGCCGTGACCTTAATACGCCCAAAATACAAACAAAACTGATATTTCAGAGAGAAACCCCTCCCCCCTGACTGTCTCTATTGTCTTCTATCGGGGTTTCCATTGGTGAGATCTCTGCGCTGGGTTCCCGGGTCTGTACACCCGCTGTGCCCATTATGAGGGGCCCCCGCCATCCCTGTGCTGAGTTCCCGGGTCTGTACCCCCGCTGTGCCCATTATGAGGGTCTGAGGGAGCAGGATAAGTGGGAAGACGGTAAGGTGGGTGGTGATTGGTCCGGGTCTCTGGTGAGGGATATCACACTACTGGAGCCCCTGGAAGAGATGAGTAGTTTGCAGGTGGCCATTAAATTGCACCTCGGCTTGAAATATCAGTTTTGGGGGGACGAGCCCTTTTGACTTGAAGCTCGTCTGACGCCTCGGGTACATGGTGGGAGGTGATTGGCTCTCTCCTATTTTGTCTTCCTGCTGTTAGATGACGGCTGGGATTTGATTGGCTTGTTGGGGGGGGGATGAGCCCGGTATCTCCTAGTTTGTGTTCTGATCCGCGTCCAGTGACCCCCGGACAGAGACGACAGCTGGAGATGGTTGTTATACACAATGATGGAAGGACCCCGCTCTGACCTCTGACCTTTCAGCAAAGCCCGCCCCCCGTTGCTAGCCTCATAATTCATATGGCACCTGCTTATTTTCTCCCTTGTCTTGGCGGCCACACTATAAGGCCCGGCCTGGGTTTCCTGGAAATAGCACTCACTGCTTTATCTCTCCCGTGTCTGGATCGTAGCTGGGAGGAAAGACGGACCGCCTCGGGGCGCATCCAGTACTTAAACCACATCACCAGGACCACCCAATGGGAGCGGCCAACCCGGTAAGTGCAGACCAGGACTTGTCGTGTTTTGTGATGGTGACGCTTTCATTGTGATATGTCTCTGTATTGCTGTGACCGCGTGCATTCCTCCTGAGGTTAGGAGCCAGTTGCACTGTATAGAGAAGGTGACGACGCTCGCTGGCTGCGCTGTATAGAGAGGGTGACAACGCTCGCTGGCTGCACTGTGTAGAGAGGGTGACAACGCTCGCTGGCTGCACTGTATATAGAGGGGGATGGCGCACTGTATAGAGTAGCAGTGTCGTCATCCTTGAGCAGGAAGTGTGCCTTCTCCCTAGCATGGTGGGAGGTGTTTTGTAGTTCAGAGATAACTGGAAGAATATAACTGATGGCAGTCAGTAGACAGAACACGGGAAGTGATTAGATTGGAGGATGAGTCGGGATTGTCATTGGATGCAGCCGGAGCCCTGGCCTGTCATTGGATGCAGCCGGAGCCCTGGCCTGTCATTGGTCACCTTGTATAACGGATGAGGATGACGCATGCTTACGTTTTCTCCCGCGCATTCACTTGATATGTAATGCTGACAACGCTGGTGGTGGTCGCTGCGTTTCGCTCTCCCCGCGGAGCGCGGTGCTCACGTTGATTTGTATGGGATGAGTCGAATGTTTATCTCTGTGATGGTGTCACCCCCTCCCCAGGCCGGCATCGGAGTACTCCAGTCCTGGGAGGCCTCTGAGCTGTTTTGTAGATGAAAACACGCCAATCACAGGGACCAATGGGGCCACCAGCGGCCAGAGCTCGGACCCCCGCATCGTGGAAAGGAGAGTGCGGTCACAGCGACACAGGAATTACATGAGCAGAACGCATTTACACACCCCGCCAGACCTGCCCGAGGGATATGGTGAG